CACCGTGGCCGACCCGCGACCTGTGGTTAGTCTAGTCCGAGCTTCAGGTACGCTGGACGGAGGCGTCTTGGGGTCGAGACCCGCTCTTCCCGTAAAACGGTTACCATACTCCAGGAGCTCTTGGTAGAGGCGTCCGGGGTATGTTTTTACTCTTCTCATACCTCAGGAGCTCTTGGTAGAGGCGTCCTAGGTATGTTCCCTGCTGGCTCCTACGGGAGTCCTGCCTGAGCGTGGGCGTCCTTGATAGGAGCGGCCCTTGCTCGGTGTTTTTGCTCCTCAGGAGCTTGTCAGTGTCACTCAGGCGTCCTTGGTAGGAGCGGCCTCGTACACTGCTCCTTCTTCTTCCTGCCCCGAGTCCATGCGCCTTGATAGTGCGGCGGGAACTCGGGCAGGGCTCCAATCACTCTACGCTGGCCTGATGGGAGTACATTCTCCGACGGCTTACGCGTGGTTACCCATAGCGAAGCCTAAGGGGCGTTAGCACCATGATGTAGAATTGTTAGTTACCTAATGTAACTCAAGTTCTACGAATGGTGCGTAGCCCCTTAGCTACGGGCCCATCAGTCCAGCATGGCTTTGGCTGAGTTCAAAGTGGTTGGTACGGGCCGTAGAGGGCTATTTATAGATGGGACTGGCATGTGATTGGAGCATTTAGTTCTCTCTGGCGGGAAGCTAGGTGCTTCTGGAGTATACCCATAGCGAAGCCTAAGGGGCTACGCACCATTCGTAGAACTTGAGTTACATTAGGTAACTAACAATTATATATTCAATTATAAACAGCTGAAACAAGCCCTTATAATTTGAAGCATTTTTGTGCCAATTGTGTCCCCAGAGATGATTACCAGGCAATCTTTGCACAAAATCATTCATACAAGAGGAGTGGCAGTACACATGTAAAACATCACGTCTGGGCCTTAAGCTTCCATCTGCACCGTATTAGTCTCGATGCACGCTATAGCTATTACGGGCGGTGCTGTCAGATTATTTTTCATCAACATTTATCATTCTAATCAACCAGAGAAATCAAAACTAATTCTCCAACACATAACTATACCTCAGGGTTCGTGGGTTATCAGCAAAGTGGAGCCAAAGGGCAATGAATTCTCTTCTACAATCAGTAGGGCTAGTATTAGCAGGCACTTGAGCTAATATTATGCGTATATCATATCCTCTGAGGCACTCTGGGGGATATTAGAATAATTGTGATGTACTTTTTACGTCACGCTTTTAGTCTAGTTTTAATCCCACTCATGAGAGTTGAATAACACTTGGCATCCTTTGGTTTATGGATTTCCTCATGCTAAAACACCCACTCTACTCTACAAATATAAAATAGTCTCATGTTTTGCTTCTTATGAGGGAGTCACATATGTTGTTCTACTGAAAGAGTTGATTGGTGATTTCCAGGGAAATTCAGCTTGAATACAGACTGTGAAAGCGGGGCCTCACAATTCATCTGACTTTTTTGGTTTTAAGCAGAAGGTTTCAACCAAGCTTCTGTTCTGTTCACATCTTACACAAAACAGTAAATAGTAATATAATCAGTTTAATGTAAAATAGGAAATAAACATCATAGATACTATGTCATTGTACATTTAATGATTTTCCAATTATGATATGTACCAGATTAGTATAATATGATAGAGACAAAGAGATTGAGACTGTGTCAAAGCTTTTTCTTTTGATGTTTATGTACATATATTATTTGACATAATGGCATTGACTATCTGCTTTATTAAGTAATACACATTTTCTCATGGTCATGCTACAATATATGCACATACGCACTCACAAACACACTCACATACGCACTCACATACGTACTCACAAACGCACTCACAAACGCACTCACAAACGCACTCACAAACGCACTCACAAACGCACTCACAAACGCACTGACATACGTTCTCCGCTGAATGGCTATTGACTGAAACGCAACCTTTTTTTCACCAAGCGCCATTGTATTGCAGAAATTAAGTGTATTGTGCAGTAACCCTGGACTGTCAACACAGATAACTATCATTAAACAGTGTGGTTGCCGGGTTCATGCTCATGCATACATGTTGCTGGTTCGATTCCTGGCATGGGCACTTCTCTGGTTACTTGTAATGGTAACTTCTCTGTGAAGTAACAAGTTTCTTTCGATGTCTCTTTGTCTGTCTGCACAGACCGACTCAAATGTTGTGAAAATCAATTTTTTTGTTGTTGTATGTTAACAAGAATGCTGTGAACATTGGTGCAGAACCAAGAAAACTATGCTTAAACTTTACAAACAAAAGCCCCGGTATAAAATTAATGGACAATTAAATATGCCTTTTGTATTTTTTCATGTTTATTGGCTTTTATAAGATTCTCTCCTTTATTATTATCCTTGTACTTTTTTGCTTCAAATATATATCTCTGTTTACAAGCTGTTACCAACAGCAAACAAATGTCATGACTAAAAATAAGCACGTGCCACCATATTTATTCACCCTGTCTTATGTAAGGCTTGTTTTCCATTGGTAGTCACAGCACGGCTACTCTGCAAAGGTGAAAACAAGCACTTCCTCCCTGTCCGCCTGGTGCTGTCCTGAATGTTTAATTGCTGAGGAGAGCCAGAGAGGTCATGTTGTCTTGTGTATCATATTTCTGACCTCGCTCTCTGTCTTAGTGTGTGTGTACCTTCAGTTATGGCCAGTGGTGCTGAAGAGCACTAAATCACTTTCAGCGGAAGACCACCCTCCAAGGCCGAGCCAAAATACATACACTTTTTCTGTTTCGATTGTAGTTTGAAAGCATATCTTTTAAACTTTGCCCATGGGGTAAAGTGATCACCGAAATTTTTCCGTCTGTGAGCAACTTGAAGTTTATGCTAGGATTTGGAAAACATTTTCAGGAAAGTTGCAAACACATTTTGGAGGCGACCTGGTGATCCAATCCAGTGTCTGGGGGAAGGATTTTTTTAAAGAAATGTAACTGTGCCTCTTGGCGGGTGACTGCGCTCTACGGGCGATTTTCTAGTTTTAGTTGTGATTGCATAGCATGGGCAACACTATATTTAGAAAAACAAGAAGCATGTCTTGCATAGGGCTGGCGGTACTATCACAGCAACAGAACCAGAAGTAGCAGTATGCGGCTGTGATGAAGAGGAGGAACATAGCGTTGTGTGCTGAAACATTTTTGAATCCATTGTTGCATTGTTAGATAATATTTTAATACAATTGAGCAAGAAACAAATGAATGGGAAGACAAAACTGTGATGAACCCTATTCTGATTTATTTTAACGCAGACTTTCAGTATTCTCTGCAACACTGCAGGGGAAGTATTGCTGAATACATGAAATAATAATAGTTGTAAAACGTTATCCAATTAAAGTTCAACCGAAAACACGGCAATGTACATTTTAATTGCATTGATCTGTTTTCTCGCAAGAAAAACTCGTGACAAATATTCTTCAAATACACATTTGAGTGTCGACACTGATGTCTAATCCTGCTGGTCCTGTTGTCAGTAGTGGTCAGTGCCACAACGATAAGAGATGTAATTGTATGTGGAGCATTACTGGAAAAGGAAATCTATATGGGACCGAGTGAATGTGTAGCAGCCTGTAACACCAATCCTGATCCTGCTTTTCCTCGAGCTGCTGCACTCAAACCTTTAGCACAAGTAGAACTTCCAAAATGCTTTTTTATCTCGGGACAGCACATTTTGTCTTTCACAAGCTCTTTCTGGTTGAATTTGAAAGTGAATGTCAAACCAAATCCCTTTTTATTCATAAACTGAAATATTTTTGAGATACCATCTCATTCTGCATCCCGTTACGCCACAGTGAAAGTGCGGGTGTGTCTCTAAGTGTTTAATTACAGACAAACAGAGCCCCTCCCTGAAGTCCTGATACTGAGGGTAAATATATCCTCCCGCCAGCTGCCCGTGTGGAAAAAGGTTTGAGGAAAGGCATGCCCATCCTAAAGGAATGAACATCACAGGGACTGATAAATAGAAGGATAAAAATAGTTCACCATGTCACATTCAGGAAGTATGCGCATGCTGGCCACTTTATTAGGCCGGGCTTATGAACATTGTTTTTCATATTTTTTAAAAGAATTCAACATTTCAACAGTTAAACAAAACATTACAGATTAATCATTTGAGACTGATGATATGATGCCATTACTTTACACAAGCACTTGTAATGTTTTTGGACTATGACTAAAAACAAAGTCGAAATAAAACCCAATAGGATCAAGAGAAAATGGACATCTGATGGCAAATAATTCTAGATAAACTAGAACTCAACTTGTGGAGTTCCACAATTCTGAAAATGAGTTTATTATTTCTCATGTTTTCATGTTGACAAACAACAACCCAGAATATGAAATTTAGTATTTTTTAAGTTGTTCCACTGTATGTAATTTCTATAGTTATAGTTTGACCTAGTTATACCTGTGTATTTCAGTCTCCTACTACACACAAGTATTTGTGACAGCAGTGAAATGTAGCCCTGATTCAAGGTAAAGGTTTCTGTAGATGAAAAGCTTGCATGCTCCTTTGACTCTCTCTGGGATCTAAAATGTTCGCCTGTGTAACATGGGAATTTTAATCTTTGAAGATGTTCTTTTTCGAAGTTAAGAAAGACCCAACCTACAATACAACACTGATTCTCTAAAAAGCAGGATAAGGGCAAAGCCTGTACAGTTATTTTGTATCTATAAAGCAAACAAACTAACAGGATAGAAAAAGCATATTTTTTGTGCATTGGTATTCTTGTGATGAATGTATTAGGGCATCAGCAGCAGGCACAGATTGGTTTTGCTGACTCTAAGCCCTACTAGAGCCACAGCAGAGTTCACACTTCGAGAGAAAATATATTTAAGTGAACAGAGTAGATAAATGGATGGTTCATATACACTTTACTCTGGTTTTCTTTAGAATGAGAAAGTGCTGCATGGTAACCGCAGATGAGAGGTCAAGACAGATTAGTTTACAACAACTTCTCTTTGTTGTGAAAGTGTCTTACCTTCAGGAAGCTTTTATCCACAGGGCCCTCCATTCTGGTACAAGAGTTCATAAGAATATAAAAGTGTCTCTGAGCTTCAATGTGTGTGACTGTGTGTATTGCCATGCACGTTTTCTTTTTATAGACTCATAATAGCCACAAATAGCTAGCAGACGTCAGCCCACTGGCACCCCCATTGAGTATGTTTTCACCCCTGGGAAGCTCCATGTGACAGACCCAGAGCTTTGAGCCAAATGCCTAATTGCTAAATTACAGGGGGATTAGTCTGTGCCTTTTGGAAACAATAATAATATAGTAACCCCCCAAAATAATAAAACATACAGAAGAATTCCATGTCAAAGATAGTGCCTGGGTGTGTGTTATATATGCCATAAACAGAAAAACTGTCACATGGTGAAGTGAAAGAGGACTCAAAACGCAGGAATGCAAAAAAATATATAATTTAATGAACTTAAAAGTCAAGAGCAGGAACATAATAAAACAACAGTCCAAGTTAAAAACAAAATCCAAATCCAAAATGAACATGGGAACTAGGAAACCAACAGAAGAGGACAAACAAAGACAATGGACCCTCAACAAATGGGGAAAAGCACAGGTACATATGAGACATAGACATACGACATATGAGACATAGACATATGAGACATAGACATATGACCTTTGAGACATAGACATATGAGACATATGAAAGACATCAGGACAGGGCACAGAGGAACTGGACAGGAAGTCAAACAAAACCACAGGGAAATTAAGTCAAAATAAGAGTAAATAACACAAAATCCACACAATGACAAAATCATCCGTTGCCGGGGGCAGCAGTCTAAGCAGAGACGCCCAGACTCCCCTGCACTTCCTCCAGCTCGACCGGGGGGACCCCAAGGCGTTCCCAGGCCAGCTGAGAGACACAGTCCCTCCAGCGAGTCCTGCATGGGTCTTCCCTGGGGTCTCCTCCCGGTGGGACGTGCCCGAGCCACCTCTCGACGTGGAGAAGCAGCGGCTCTACTCCGAGTTCATCCTGTGTGACTGAGCTCCTCACCTCTAAGGGCGCGCCCAGCCACTCTGCAGATACAGACCGTTTGTATCCGCGATCTCTTTCGATTTACCCCGGTAAATCGAGATCTTTGCTTTTCGGCTCAGCTCCCTCGGACAACAATCCAATACAACGACAGCATCACTGCGTACGCTGCACTACCATGAACCCTTGAGTATCTGATGGAGAGTATCCAGCTGGTCCAGTGTTCCACGACCGGGACGAAAACCACACTGCTCCTCCTGGATCCGAGATTAGACCATCGGTCGAAGTCTCCAGAGCCAGGCAGATGGAAGTAACTTCATTCAGTTTGATATTATATTATTGGTTTCAGAATTGTGAAAAGTCTCATTTAAATGGTTCTCTATCCATGTTTGCCAACCCCTTTATGCCATAGATTTTTATCTTATCCTTATTATCACGATAATGAGACCATCAAACATTTTTAACAAAAATGTTCTTGTGTCAATACCATTTGTAATCACTGCAACTAAAAAAAAAGACAAAGAAAGTGAATATTTTTTCCAAATCCGCTTTGAATATTGAAGACTAATTATTGCAAAGAATGGATTGTCAAAATTCACCAAAACATGTTCAGAAAAAACTCAATGCCACATATTTGTACAACAAATTGGGCTGATTCTCGCCTGCTCTCATCAGTCCCACGTGTTTCCTTCTAAACACTGCAGCAGGCGGCTGTGCACCAGCACTGCCTTTTACAGTTAGCACGGATTGGTCAGAACCATATGTTTGCCTTGACATGCGGAAGTACCACAGTACTGTGCAAGACCAGGAGGAGCAGAGGTGGTCCAAATGCATCACCTCTGCAAATATTTGGCAGCACCAGCTCGATTTTGATTTCAGTATTAGATAACCTTATGTGGTCAAAGTTAGGTTTTTGTTGTTTTTTTTTACAAAGACAATGCGATACGATGATGTCATGAAGGTATGCTCCAGTTTTCCCCACCACCCAAAACATGCTTCATAGGAGTATTTTCTGAAAGCCTTGACCAAGCAGAGCATGATCATCTGGAATTGGGTCCTTGGGCGTCGCACTGCTCCTGAATGTTCCTTGGTGGCATTGGAGGATCGCTCAAATGTAAATGTAGACATTTTTTCCACGAACAATAACGTAAACCTTAACCTGACCTTACCCTTTGATATTTGCTTCTTTCCAACATATCCACATCTCTTTGTCCCTGTATTTTCAACAATTGTGCAACAAATGTGATCTGGATGAATGTTTGTGTCTCGCTCTGAGCCGCAGCTGCCGCTCTGAGGAACAATTGAACAAAGACTAATCGTTCAACTCGCCGCGAGTGACAGCTGAGCTTTAAACCCGACACATGAAAGTCAAGTATGATTTTTTATATAATAACTGTTTTTTTCCATTTTTATGACAGGAACATGTTCAGTTAGCCCTCTGATGATCTGAACCCCTCAAACCAATTCAACTGACGGTGATAGCCCAGCGTGTTGTCATTAAACACTTATGAGGCTGCGGAAAACAAACTCATGTGTTTGCGGCCCTGTGCTGGCTCTGTGTGCAGCGGGTGAAAGCAGACCTGAGTAAGCTTTTAAGTACACAACATTCTGCATTCCTGTCAGCTGTTTGTCTGTCCCCCTCCCTCCCTCCATCACACACCCCTGGGCCCAACCTGTAATCTAGTGCTTCAGAAGCTCAAGTGTGAGAATAATAAATGTTGTATTAAATTGGTGTAACCACAAATAGCTTAAAAATACATTTACAAATCCTGATTTCTGTAGTTATTTGGCAATTGGAATTGAAAATGACCATTGGAATTCCAGCGGGGAGAGTAGAATTCCTCAGTTGCCGTGAGTCCCTCAATAGTTTTCTCATGTTATCAACAAACCTGTTGTCATAAAAGGCTGTAGTCTACAGAGAAATGTCTTTAGATCAGCGTTTAACAAAGGGAGGGGCCTTTAACTGGAACATTCCTGCTGCGGGTCAGTGCTTTAAAGAAAATATAACGTCTTTTACGTCTCTTCAGGGAGATCTTGTCTCAATCAAATCAATCAAACTTTATTTATAAAGCGCTTTTCACATAGATACAGTAATAGAAAACAAAGTGCTTTACAGTTTGGTTAAAAACAATGGGCCTCATTCACGAATAACTTCGTAAGAAACTACTCAACTTTCTTCTCAAGTTGTCCTTAAGTAGATTTCTAAGAAGTCCCCACGTGGGATTCATCAACGCACTCGTAAGCCGCTGAATTGTTCGCAGCTGTTCTCTCAGATTGATGAATGCCATTTCCTCGTAAATACAGCGCGCGTGCCAGGTGCTTCATTAGCATAGGTACTTAGCATAAGTAACCGCCCACTAATGCCCATATAAGGGACTGCAGGGCCGTGTGCAGACGGCAGAGGAAACAGCAACAGGCCTAAAGCAGAGTTACACGGAGCAAAATAGTCACCCTTTCTTCTTCCTTTACCAGACTGAGAATAAAGTTATAAAATGTTGACTTAAAAGGCGAAATATTATGATAATAAAGTCGAACTAGCAAAATTACGAGATTAATCTAAGAATATGATGAGATTAATCTCAAAATGTTATGAGCTTAATTTAAAAATATATTATGTATTATTTTAAAGATGAATCTCAAAATGTTTTGAGGAGGAGATCCAGCGCGGACCAGCGCTGAGACCAATGCAGACCCGAGGAGAGACTGGAGTGACCAGCACACAGAAACCAGCGCGGACCTATAGGAGAGACCGCATAGACTGGAGTGACCTGACTGGAGAGACCGGTGCGCAGAGACCAGCGCGGACCGAAGAGAGACCGCATAGACCAGACTTGAGAGACCAGCGCGGACCCGTATGGATCCAGGAGCATGCATCACGGACCCGTATGGAGAGAGACCAGTAAAGACCCGTATTGAGAGTGAGGAGTTGACGTCATAGCACAGAGCCCCTCCCCGTCTCCGCCATGTTGGTAGGATCCCACCCAGCGGCAAACAGTTGTTGTTAACTCGGTAGCAAAGGAGGTCATCGCTATTTCTGTTTTACCATGCCTGGAGCTCATTGCTGTGTGAAAAACTGCTCCAGTACCTCACACAATAAGAAAGGAAAACGTAGGAACAACGGTTTACAATTGTTTAGGCCACCAAAATGGATACAACATCAGGGAGCGCAGGTGTCTGACCTGACGAAGAGATGCCGGATGGCTTGGTTGGCTGCAATAAGAAGAAAGGACCTTACTTTCGATCTCACCCCCAGTCGATGAGAGTGTGTGTTCTCTGCATTTTCACTCGGGTACGTCCTAAAATGTCTTCATGTTGTTTTTTTAAAGTTAAGAAGTGTAGGTTACCTAGCTGTTAATGTTGCAAACACTGAAGTGCATCTTAAGTTAGCTGCCTAGCTAACTATCTAACTATCTAATGACACACGTCATTATGGTCAAGAAATGTGTGCTAAATGCAATGTAATTACAGCACACAAAAACGCATGTTATGAAAACTTACCTTTGCAAGTACAACGGTGTTTTCACCGCCTGGAGGCTTGTAGATGGCCATGTCCTGCACCCAACCACAGCAGAAAGCCTCGTAACTCTCCAGTGACTTGTGACTTCTAAACTCCTGCATTGTATAATAACTAACACCGAAAACAAGGTAATTGACTATATCCATGTACGTGCACGGAGGCAAAAAGTCTAGGTCTTTTTTCCACTCCGCTGCAGGAAGCTCGTATGGGTCTACCTGTTGTATGTCTGAGAGCTTCTCCAAATAACGTTGTTTTGCCGTGGGTAGAAGCTTTTCCCTGTACGGTCCATTTCCTTTCGCCTTCACTTTCTCCATTAACTGTCTTGCTAGTGTTGTAATCGTAGATGTATCTACTGCCGAACTAATAAACGTGCTCAATTTAAAGACCTCTGGAGCGTTAGCGTTAGTGGCGTTGCCCCTGGCAACCGATGGAGGATCCTATCAACATGGCCGACCGGATTAGACCCCGCCCAAATTATCACGTGACCCCTCATTCTCAATA